GTAAAAAATTGTCATATTCTATATAAAATTTTATGTCACAATATAACTCTTTGGCCCCATCTAGTGTAAAAAATAGTCATATTTTATATAAAATTTTATGTCACAATATAACTCTTTGGCCCCATCTAGTGTAAAAAATAGTCATATTTTATATGAAATTTTATGTCACAATATGACTCTTTGGCGCCATCTAGTGTAAAAAATAGCTATACTAGTACTGACTGTGTTGTACACTCATCATAGTACTACAAACACACACTTTCACATTTCCACTTTGCACAAAATCTTTCTCAAATCACAAGCACATGTGTTTGTATCTAACATATATGTTTATGATTGTATGTGTTTGTATCAAACATTACTAATCGTAAATATTCTGATTTACGGCCAAATGGTATTTTGTTAGCGCTTATTGCGCCCTCTAATGTATTACTATATATACCTTGCGTAATGCTCTGCTTGCGTTAACAATAAATACTTTATTCACAGATATTAACCAGTTAGTGACGTTTCTAGAACGCTTACAATTACAAACGATCTGAACACCAATTGAAAGAAAACAAATCGAAATAGGAATTTTGATAATCAGAGCTATTTAGACTAGAATATAGAAAGGCAATCATGTTTTCTTACAGAGTAGATATTTACTTTGGTACATATATAAATTTGATTGTTTACTTTGTTGAAGCCATTCTAATGAAGTTGAATTGTTATACCAATAACTAGCACTTTCACATTTCGATTTGCACCACTGGATGGTGCCAACCCTGCTTCACACTTCAAAATCAAACGTAAAATTTGACAAAAACAAATGCAAAACACAATTCGTAACGTAACACGTTGTATTATTAAGCATTTTTCTTTCTACAGAAAAACGTTACGGTAGTCACTAACCCGACCGTTGGTCTGTTTCCTTGTACGTACGCTCGCAAAATTTGCAATACAGAGTTGGTGCACCAATGGTCTATTAATTTTACATTACAAAAAATGGCAGCCATTGTTCTAATATTCCGGTTACTTTTTCTCCCCGAGTCGGTAGCCTCCCCCACATTCACTGTCCACCGACAAATTCATTACAGGTAACAAGATTAACCAAAAAAAAACGTTGGCTCAACATTACACCGAGTTTAGGCAGTGGCGCGCCGCAACCCCCCACGCCCCCTACAGGACCACCGGCCGATCTATCCAAACAATTCATTAACGACGGACGCTCACTCGCTTAGAAAGCGAAGAGCAGTAGGAAGGCCATCATGAGACAGAAGAGCCCCATGGCTTCAGAGAGCGCAAAGCCGAGGATGGCGTAGCTGAACAGCTGCTGCTTCAGACTCGGATTTCTCGCATAGCCGATGATGAGGCTTCCAAACACCGTACCGATACCGGCTCCTGCAACAACAACCAGCGGGTTAGACAACAAGGCCAGATCTGCTGGCTACAACCAGTACAAGGGTCAGTTTACAGGGTTTGATATTGAAGTATTTATTTTGAACATAATTTCGACAATAAAGGATTTAAAAGGGCATCTGATTCTGTGTAGTTTCTATTTTGAAATTGGTCGATACCTTGCGATAGCCCGAGATTCGCAAGAAATGGCAGCGGTAATCAAAACTCGAATTGTGCATGTTGTGGTGAACATAGCCAAGTACGAAGGTTTCAACACATGTTGGCGTTACTCTAGACAGTTGCAGCTACTCAAGCAATAACCGCTAATGTAGTATAAAAGTGGGAAAACACGAGACCGGTTGGAAATTATGTTCGAAATAAATCCTTTAAGTTTTCGAGTTATTCCCCCCCCCCACCCCATGCGCAACCTTCGTGGCGTAACAGCGCGAGCCGTTGCACCTCCCTCCCATCCGCACCTGACCCAGCGACTCCGACTGTGGCTGCTCCTGCACCGATGAACTTGGCTGCAGAGTCAATGTCGCGCTGCACAGCGCTGGTCTGGAATCCGCGTGCCTGCGGAAGTCAAGCGGACGCAGCGCAAATTAGTACGACTCATAATCCGTGCGCTGCACCGTCCCCCGATCGTAAGACGTCCGCGAATCACCCATCTACTTAGACTGGCTACATTTGGAAGCAGCTGAAGCTAATCATTGCTGCGGAGGCTGCAAATAGTGGTTTTCTACTCGAAGTGATTCAGAAGAAGCTGCAGCTAATCCTTGCTGTGATAGCAGCAATAACAAGATTCAGTGAGAAAGTCAAGAATTAGACGTGCAGGCATTGTCTAGTTTGACCGACCTATCAACTATATACGATGGGGACATGGTTATGTTACTCAGATCGATATTTCACTCAATTCAAAACATTTTAACCCCATTCATAAAACACCTATAATTTTGCATTTCGATGTGACTTTTGATAGTCACAACAATGTAATTGTTCACAGATGGTGACCTGATATCACCACACAGGCTGAATCAAGCAGGCCCTGGAAGGCTTGCTTTGCGCCTCTAAAATCTCGCGAGAAAAACTACAAATTACACTTGAAAACGTCTGTAGGAACTGAGGAAAGGGTATCAAGATCAAAAGAAGCGTGGCTGTTACATAATGCAGTAGTAGGCTGCTCATAGGAAATTCCACATACTCACCTGGCTCAGAAGAGGCGACAAGGCCATTGAGTTGCTAAGTGGAATATTGAAACCCGATAGCCCATTGTAAGTGGTTAGACTTTGTCCATTCTGAAAAACACATAAAAAAATATTGCGAAATACGGACCAATGTGAAATGAGTGTATAGTATACATGACTTTTGCAACTGATCAAAATTAACTAAGTTCTCTAATGGTCACTGCACTTGTCAATTCAAACAGATAGGCAAGCATGCATTACTTCACCACTACGTGTTTGCTATTAAAAAGGATTCAAGCAATGCTGTGAAGATGCAGGCATCAAATAATACATGACGACGTGACACTATAAAACACACACTAGGATACGAAGCCACAAAACGATACTCCAATCGCAACGAATTACTACCCATTTAACTATTTATAGCCTGGATGCATGCCAAGGTACATTGCTGTATGGTGCGGGACACACACACGCTGCAGAATTATAAACAGATGGTGCTACTGTAATTACCCCTGCGCAGAATGAAGGTGAACTTACTTCAGTGTTGCTCGACGCAAGTGCTTGACTCAGGGGACGTGTTGCTGATAACCGGGAGATGGATCCCTGCAATCAATAACATAAGGAATAAATTAAATAGATTTACAAGAAATTCCCACATGCACTGTATCTACATATATATAAACACTTTTGACTGCACGAAAAATTAAATTGCAGTGTCAGTTATGAAAAAGCTACTTACAGGAGTCAAAATTAGATTTTTATTATGGTATCCATTCGGGATACCAGGTATTGAAATCTGGTCTCCCCCCAAAGATCTCGTATCCCATTTTTTGGATAGTAATTTCAACAATGTTGGTATCCAAAATCTTGAAATATATGCAATAATAGTGTAACTTCCACCGCGTTCCGGATTCACACCAACTGCCGGTTGGTACACGGGATCACTTTCCATGGCGTGTGGGCTTTGCCCGCTTACAATAGCATTTGAAAATTATTAATATGTAATGTAATTATTATATAAAAACATTGAAAACAGATTCACAGATATGCACAGACAAGTACACTGCAGACACTGTATTGTCTAGACGCATAAATATGCTCAACAACCACTACCCCGATTTTGGTGATTTTTTTTTTACTATCCCGGCGGGATACTAAGTATTGAAATCTGGTATCCAACACAAAAATCTACTATCCCGCGGATATCGGGATACCGCTAATTTCGACCCCTGACTTAACACGTTCCCCGCGGATCGACGAGTCATCTCGTGGGAACAATCAAAACGCATCAGCGTTTCAATAAAATTTAATGCTAAATAAATACGAAATCTATTTACTACCAAAGTCTTAATAAGCATTTGGACGGCATTTGCAGGAAATTGTCGGCACCAATAGGTGAAAGAGAGTATAGAAGACTTTGGTAGTAAATAGATTTCGTATTTATTTAGCATTATATTTTATTGAAACGCTCCAAGTGCCTGTGTGCAGGGCGGCAGGTGCATTGTTAACACCGGCAGCGTTGAACGTGTTAAAAAACCTTCGATCCTGCAAGGATGTGCAACGTACCAGAGTCCTAGAAGCAGGTGTCATCAATCGTGCGCAATACATGTTGTCTGTTGCAATCAAAGCTACCAACTCACGCAAGGTTTCTATAAGGAAATCAAATTTTGTATGAGCTACTTCTAGCACATAACTGATAATTTCAATGGCAATAAATCAATTCATTCAGCTGAAGTCAAACGTTGATTGCATGTTGAAACCCCAGTTTTTTAGAACTGTTGTTGCTGACATTGCATACTAATGTCAAGCGTTTTAAACGGAAAACAAGCCAAGAGTGTGAATGGTACAAATGTAGTTTTCTATTTTCCTACATTTACATGTATTATTATAGCCTAGTTATGAACTACAAGTTATAACTGTGACTTCGCCCATTTTATGACTTATCAACTTATGACTCATGACTTGGAGCGCCTTCGTGGCCCAGTGGTTAGGCCACGTATACTGTCCACTGAAGGCTGCGAGTTCAAACCCCGGCCCGGGGCAGTGAATTTTCTCAAGGTGTAAAAACCTGGCTCTCAACATTGGAGACTGTGAATCTCCCGTGGCTCGGCGGTCCCGTCTCCAGTAATACTAAGGCCA